AGCACATTTTCAAGAAGCTACACAAAGGCCATAATCAGGAGCCTAATCGGACCAACGAGACGCCGCCGCCGTCTCCCTCATGTGCCACCGATCATCAACGTACCATGTCCGGAAACTCTCCGACGAGTCCCTCCACGTCATCGCCTGCTCTGGATACTGTTCCGACGAGCTCCGGGAATACTACAGCGGCGTCGACTGTGTCAGCAAATAATAGTACCGATTACATGTTGTCGGAGGAGGAGTTCGAGGTTCAGTTAGCTCTAGCGATCAGCCTGTCGAATTCGGAGGATCCCGAGAAGGATCAGATCCGCGCGGCCACTCTGCTGAGCCTGGGGGGCCATCATCAAATGGATACAGGCGGGGATAGGGAGGAGGTGCCCGCAGAGGATTTATCGAGACATTATTGGGTGAGTGTTCGTCAACTTTCTCCTTACCTATTTTGAGGTCGAATTGGATTCTGGTGAATTCGAGTTGGAATGGGCTTAATTATTTGAGTCCTGCATTCTCAATTTTAGTAGCTGAGTTGGAATGGTTACATTTCTTGATTACATGCATTGAATTCTTGATCCTTGCTTAATTCGGGGAGGGGGTATCTCCTGTGTACTGTTCTTTTGTTTTCTACTTTGTGAGGCTTTATTCAATCAGGTAAGTAGTTGATTTTGTGATAGAAATGTGATTTAAAATCTGAAAATTTTGTTTATGTGGTTTATATTATGTTGAAGTGATAATATTGACTAAAACGGCAGTCGTTGCCAAATTCAGTTCACTTAAACAATTTAACATGTAGAAAATTTTCTATTTACGAATGCAATCAAATATCTGATTTTTTTGCCAGTTTAAAATATATTTTCTCCATGCCGGAATGTCTTTCACGTATATTGAGATTTGAAAGTTTCTTATACATTGTTTCTTCATATTAATGCTTAACTGTAATTTGTTTACATATATTGATATGCTGTACTGTTTCTGTAGTTATTCTATTTGGCTTGACTTCTGTTAGGTGTTTTAATGCACCAGGAGTACAGTGTGCTTGATCACGAAGAGAAAGTGGGTGATGGTTTCTATGATGTGTATGGGCCTTCCACAAATTCAGCACTCCAAGGAAATGTGCCATCTCTTGCAGATCTTGAGACAAATCTTGGGAATTATGGCTTTGAAGTTGTGATTGTCAATCAAACAATTGACCCTCTCTTAGAAGAGCTGGTGCAAATTGCACATTGTATTGCATTAGATTGCCCTGCTATTAATGTTAGTGTTTTAGTCCAAAAGCTTGCTGAATTTGTTACAGGCCATGTGGGTGGGCCTGTTAAGGATGCTAATATAATGTTGGCAAGGTGGATGGAAAGGAGCACGGAATTGAGAACATCTCTTCATACAAGTTTGTTGCCTATTGGGTCCATTAATATAGGATTATCTCGGCATTGTGCTTTACTTTTCAGGGTTAGTTATTTTGTTTTTTGTTGACTTTCGAGGTTAGTTATGAAACTTAAACTTGTGGTGCTAGTCTCCACTGGCCAACTTTCTGTTGCTTTAATATATTTACCATTTCTACACCTCTTATTAAATGTGAATTCATATATCATGAAAAGGGGAAGATATGGCTCTGTCTACTTTTTGAGGGTCATGTTTGTATCTTGAGGAAGATCCTTCTTCTTCCCTTTTTTTTTTTT